GTAGTGTTTATTTGACATCAAAAGGTACTAATAATAGAATTTATTACAATAATAAGACTCAGTTTCTGTCCTCCTTGAAAATGAGCGCACAACTTGCTATCTAAATACTCGTGCGTGCGCACTTCATTTCAATAGATGTGAACAAAAGGCGGATGTAAATACACTTTAGTGGACATTTTGTACAGCAACGTATTTAACGCTTTATAAAGTTTTTATAAAGGTTTAATGTTAAGCCGTAGAATAACGTTATAAGTTTATTTACTGATGGTATTAAGTACGGTAAAGTTTAGCCGTAACTAAAATAAAGCAATTTACAGTGTTAATTTATCTCTTTATCGAATATAGGCTTTACTTCATTAATGAAGGCTTAACTAATACTAATTTGACCACAAAGTTCGTATTGTGTAGTTTTTCTATATTAAGGTTGATCTACCATTTAGATCAATGTTTCTCAACCACTGTGGATCGGCGCTGGTCCGTGGGATTTCACGGAAACAAACAAGCAAAAACTTACAGAATATTCTTATGTACATCGTAATGGTGTTTTGCTGTAATTACATTTTAGTGGTCCGTGACAGTTTAACAAGGCAGCGAACCGAGTCCTGGTATCGAAAAAATTGAGAAATATTGATCTACAACGTGTAGTTTGGATTTGTGTGTGAGAGCGGGAAACTGATGAAATATTACAAATAAGACCAGGGATTCTAATAAAACCGATTCAGTTATATATTAAGCACCGACGAATTTGTTAGGACAGACGGATAGAGCTTAACTTTTGCGTAACGTGTTTATATATTTTTTGGTATTTTTCAAATAAATGTGTATGTGTGAAATAGAATATACAATGTTGTTATAGTTGTCAAGGTAACAGACCTATCCTAAAATATTTGAGCTAGTCACACAATGTTGGAAATCTATAGGAAGAAAGAAAAAAGAATTGGAATTTCTAAACTGGATGACATCTGATATTCACGTGGATTAAACAGCTAGGTCAGAGACCCCTAAGGTTCAAGTATATCCGACACTAATTTTATGTTACTGACTAGAGGAAGGACAATCAGCCAGTGACACTTTATACCAGAATATTCTTATGGCTATTTGAACCGAATAGCAGTATTGATTGTCTTTTTTATAAAGTGCTCACAGCTAAAAGTGTGGAACTTATTCAACGGCATGAAATTGGGAAAATTAGACCCTAAGTCTCGTAGCTAACCACTACCATGCTTTGCACTGATGACGGAAGAAAAAAAAAAGAAGAGATACTTAGCGTTTAAAACAATAAGAAAAGGCGTTAATAATAGGAAATATATTTTGTCATGTTACCCACTCAACTAAATGCGGGTTAGGCTTAGCCCGGTGGCCACGTGCTGAGTTGCATACCTAAAGGTGCAAAGCCCGAACCAGCGATATGTCGTCGAACACACTTCGCATTTACGTAGAGGCGTTATAAGTGTAACAGTCAATCACGCTATTCGGCGAATAGTGATAGCATAAGTAGTGGCTGCTGCTAACTGTTTACCTTCCTTTTGGTTGTAGGTTAATGATAGCTATGCCCGACTTTTAGGGGTCTATTATTTGGCCATTCAGCCCAATTATTGCATAAGGTGCCTTTCAGAAATCCATAATACCAAATAATACCAATTGAATATATTATTGGTGTTTACAGCATCCTTTGGATCATACCTGATACGACGAGAAACTATTAATGTTATCTTAAGAAAAATAAAACGTAAACCTGATGAAACAGCAAAAACAAATACAAAATATTAAAAAGGCATAATTATTCTATATTGCAAATTATCCTTTTGAGTTAGGTTTTGGAAAATGCTACCATAGTTCAGGCTTAGATTTAAACTAAAAGAAACGACGCGGTTCAGCGAATCATACATAAAGAATGAATTTACTTCTTCATCAATATTTTTTAAAGAAAAGATAAAAAAGAATATTTCAGAGAGCAGTGGTCTGCTCAGAATATTGAGGAAATGATTGATTGTATGGTATTCACAGTAGCAGTACTTACTTCTGCCTAACTTGGGAACTGCTAGAAACTTATGATTGAAAAAAGTGAGAAAAGTGAGAAAAAAGGAAACTAAAACAACGTCGATTAACATGGCTTTAATATTGTTAGTCTTACAAATCTAGGCTAATAAAGAGTTCCCGGTGTCCCGAAGGCTTATAACATTACAAATCGGATTTCGATTCCTGTTGGGCACAGCGCAGATAGCCCATGGTGCAGCTTTATGTTTTACAATATCAAAACCAAAACCGAACCAAGCTAAAGTTTCTACACTTTAAGATCCAAAGTTATCTTATTGTTCATATTGAGTTTTTTGCTTGCCCAGTCTATGTAATCAATAAAGTACCAATTCGCACAAACCTAATGAGCACCTGAAATTACAATGTAGCTATAGAAACAAGCAATAAAAAAAGCTCTTTCCCTGGATTTAATTATAACATTCCTATCGATCTTAATACATTTTAACGAGCATCAACGACACAGCAGCCAAACAGAACATAATATGATACTTATATATATATATATATATAATGATGGGATTATAAATTACATGACATTTTTAACTGTGGTAATCTCGTGTCTTTTTAAGTAATTATATTCCCCGCAATATTTGTATGCAAGTTCACACATATTACTGAAGACGTTCACAAATATACACACACATATACAATCTCATAAAAATCCTGAAGGCGCCTATTTGGCGACGCCTCTCGGAATATTTGAAATGCTTTGCGAAGATTCTTGGGGTTTCTGTTTTCATTATGAATCTCTCCCCTCCACATATCGTTCCTAGTATATAGCTGAGGAAAAAGCCTAATTACGTAGAACTGGAAGGCTTTTACCACGTGAACCATTCTCCTCAGATGATGATAACAGTCTGCGAAGTCAGGGTCTATGCATAAAGGAAATACTTTCAGAAATTTCATTCATCTGAATCCAGGTTCATAAACAATATTCAAAGAGAACAGACAAGCACAGCCACAGACTGAGGGCGGAGCACCAAGCTACTGACTGAGAGTTCGAGAAATACCACATAATGCAGTCACAGACATAATCTGTGACTTTATTGTTCGGTATTCCTGCATTACAGGAACATCAAACAATATAACTACTTGTTGAGAGTTTTACAGAAATACCACAATACAGTCATAGAATAAGCAAGAATACCACACAATACAGCTACAGATTGAGGATAATGCAGGGATACCAAGACGAGCTAGATTGAATTAGTAGTTTGGTCGCAGCTCTTTCTCATATCTTATGTTTATTGCTTGTAGTTCTTAACCTTAGTTATTTGTGTTCTTCAGATTCGGAAGATCGTGTGATGTCTCGGCACACATTAATCATCTGTATACTACTCAGTTGTTAGTTTTTACTCTTTAGTTTCCGATCGCATATTTTTAGATCTCAAACGAACAAAACTTAATGTGCAAAGTTTTGATTAGACTGACAGAGATAATCGATTTCTAATTTAATGCAATAAAGTTCGGACAACTGAATGAATGACCTGTTCAGAAATACCTGGAATTATAGGTAATATATATAGCAGCGATCGTCTATTCGTGTTTGTGAATGTTAAGTGATATATGAGAAGATGGTTTGATATCACCTGGTGTTTCAGATATTGTAAAAAGAATATAACAAACGGTGTAGTAGTAGTAGCTTCTGTGTAGTACGTTTTCCTGAATTACTTTAAACAGAATCTGAAATCCGGGATTTATAAATATGCCTAATTAAGGATCTCAGGTAGATGGTTTTCAAATCATGTATAATTTAGTAACAGTGCCTGCTCATAGAACAATCTAGATAACTGATTTAAAGCCCATCATAGGCGACACAAGAATCAATGCAAAACGTTTTTAGGTTATGTAAGTGACAGTTATATACTATCGAAAGCATAACACCAAAGTAATAAACGTAGGAAAATATAGTTTCGAAGGTTATCAAAAAAGAACAAAACACTATTCTGATTTATGATTTTTTTTTTGGCTGTGCTGCTCGACTCAGAGCACTAGGCATCGAAAGCAGGAGTTTTGATTAATATCAGATTTTAGTGTATGATTATAGGATGAAAGGAAATTATGTAAGTCTTTTATGCTGGTTTGGGAATTTAACACTTATATTGGTTTTCGAAACATTCATCGTATTAGCGTATAGATCTATCGCTTCTACTTGTTAATGGTCAGAGACCCCTAGGATTCAGGCATAGTTTTGAATTACTGAACAAAGGAAAGATTGTCTGTCAGTCAGCAGTAACCGCTTGGCACTGAATAACGTGATATTAACTGTCAATTTTATAGCGCGCCCACAGCTGAAAGTGTGGGGTGTGTTCAGCAACATCGTGGCTCGAAAATGAGACCTTTCAGTCTGCAACTCTTGTGGCACTCTAACCTCTAGGCCATGCCTTATCCAAGTTTTGTTTTATAGCTTTATAAGATGAACGTATTGTAAACAATGATATAAGTTTGTAAACTCTGTTATAAAAAATGTATAAATTGTAATTGAATTTTGACTCTTTAAGTATTTATCCAATTTAAACAAGTACATTACACGACGTCAAGACGTTTCACAATTTTAATATATCAAATGTATTCATTTAGTAAAAGTAGTATCATTCGAAGGAACAAGACGACGATTGTTCTTAAAAGCAATTACTTTCCCATGCCATATACGGAACCAACTGATATAAAATATACAGACAAGCTGTTATCTATATATGTATATTTGTGTGTGTGTATCAATAGGATCTCGAAGCAAATTCATGCGAAAAATAACATGTCTCGATAAGAACTTGAGAAAGCTCTTGGAAAAACCGTGATTTAAACTTAATAACTTAGAACCAATTAAAAAAAAATTAAATCCTCTTGTTTTATTTAATTTCGAACAGTCTCTATAGAATCAAAGATCAAATTCGACATCCAAACTGTAGTATAAATTAGTTGTTATAGGATATAATTAATTAATTAATAATATGTGTTTGCAGAATCCGGCGTATCCACCCAAAGATGTAACGGATCCATGGCGAGTACAAACTGCATATTACTACGACCCCACGTTGTCTGGATATAGGTAAGCTTAAAACTCTACTCTTATGAAGTTATACATAGGATTTAATACAACATTAGTTTTATTTTTGGATATTTTTTAACTTGATGAGCATTTCAGGAGTATGTGTATAAGTACAAATGTACTGGTCACTCTATGTTTTCCTATAGTAGAACAACTGTCTCCAAAAGGAGGAGGTGGGTGAATTTTCGAAAGTTAACCTTTTCCTCCGGAAGAGCTGTTTAACTTTTGGGGGGTAGAGCTGACCTATTTAATTAACGTCACAAACTTAATTATAATGTGTTATGTGGCAAAAAATGTTACCCTTAGAAAAACCTGATGTTAGATTACAGTCAATACTCGAGTATGGAAGCACATTATGTTAATATAATGATGAATTGGCAAACAACAATTTATATGCATAATGAAGTGTTTTATTTTGGGGGGGGCATACTACATGTTTCGATAGAACATTGGTCTGTCTTCTTCAGGAACATACAATTAGATTACAGTCAATACTCGAGTATGGAAGCACATTATGTTAATATAATGATGAATTGGCAAACAACAATTTATATGCATAATGAAGTGTTTTATTTTGGGGGGGGCATACTACATGTTTCGATAGAACATTGGTCTGTCTTCT